ATATATATATATATATATATATATATATATATATATATATATATATATATATATATAAAGATGACGGTTGCCTCATTTTTTCTCGGCCAGATCGCACATTTTTTTTAACTTATATATATATATATATATATATATAAATAGATATAAATAAAAGATTATATATATATATATATATATATATATATATATATATATATATATATATATATATATATATATATATATATATATATATATATTGCTCGGTATAAGTATCGTACCTTCCTGAGAGAATGTCGAAACTTCAGTACGGTATGATATTTCAATCCTTGGTTAAAATTAATTGAACCTTTCATGGCTTTAGTTAATCCATCTCTCAGTATTTTATGCAAACACTGTAACTCCTTTGCTTGTTTAAATTATATTTTGTTGCTTTCTCTTTCTTCAAGATTGTGAAGAACATGGCATAGATATATATTATAAAATATATTCCATGTTTATTTCTTTCAGATGTTGTTACACTATCCTCGGGAGGAAGTATATTAAGGGCATGGAACCTTCCTGATGGTCAAATGATATGGGAGTCGACTCTTCCAGTTTCAACCCTTTCGAAATCTTCGTTGTATGTTCTGGTAAGAAGTAGAGATCTGTATATCTAATTTCTATTACATATTAGCATGAGAAGAAATAGGCATTTTTATTTCAAAGAATCTGAATTTACCGCAATAAGCTTACAGGCAAATATGAATGTGGGAAAAGATAATTTGATTCTTGTTTTTGGTGGATCATCAATTCATGCCTTGTCAAGCATGGATGGGCAAATTGTTTGGAGAAAAGAATTGTCCATTGACAGGTATCGGTTAACTTCTTTTTGGTCTTCCTTTTTGAATTATTTACTTTTTCTTTGTACAAATATAATTATACTTTGCATTTTCCTTTGTGATTGCAGCTTAGAGATTCAGCAGATTTTTCAACCTCATGACAGTGATATCATAAATGCTGTAGGATTTGTTGGTTCATCAGAATTTGTTGTGTATCAGATCAGTTATAGAACTGGGGAGGTGATGCAGCAAAGCAAAGCTTCCTTTGAAAGTGGTTTCTGTGGTGAAGCATCTCTTGTTTTTGACAATTTGGTCGTAGCATTAGATGCCAGCAAGTCATCTTTAGTTTCAATAAGTTTCAAAAATGAAGTTATAAATTTCCACCAGATAAATCTATCAGATCTTGTGCCAGATTTTTCTGGGAAGGTTACATTATTGCCTTTAAAATTCAATGGCATGCTTGCAATAGAAATTGCTTCATCAATACTTTTGTTGAGAGTTAAAGGTGCTAATGAGCTTGAGTTTGTTGAGAAAATTAGCCATCCATTCGCCTTTAGTGATGCTCTCCCTTTATCAAAAGAACAACAAGCTTTTGCAATTTTGCAGCATGACGAATCAAAAATCCACTTCAAGGTGAAATCGGATAATGATTTGAGAAATGAGATTCTTAAAGAAACCATACAGATGGACAGTCAAAGGGGAAATATTGAGAAGGTTTTTATTAATAATTATATTCGAACAGATAGAACACATGGTTTTCGGTTTTTAGTTGTTATGGAAGATCACTCACTATTATTAATACAACAAGGTGAGATTGTATGGAGTAGGGAGGATGGTTTGGCATCTATTGTTGATTCAACAACATCTGAACTACCTGTTGAGAAGGAAGGTGTATCAGTTGCAGAGGTGGAACACAACCTTTTTGAGTGGCTCAAGGTATTCTTTCTTTCACATGGAATTTCTTTTACAACAGATACAATTGAAGATAAATTTTTTTCGTAGAAAAGATTATTCTTTTTATCACAGTTCATACTTGCTGGGAATTGATAGTTACCAATTTGTTGATAGTTTTCTTGAAAGGATTAGATCATTGGTCTCCTGAAATGATAACTCTGACACTTTGATATACTAAAAAAATAATGATAGCTGTTGGTAATCCACCACCGATCTAGTTCAGGTCCAATTCTACCAGTTTACTGATGTATGGTACACTCGTACATGTCACTGAATCGAGAAGGGGGAGGAGACAAAGGAGGGGGAGGTAGGGGGAGAAGGAGAAGTATCCTGGGAGGGCGGGAGGGAGGCATGAGGTGCAAGAAGAAAGTATCATGTGCAAGGCTGCAAGCGCTATAAAACCTGTTTGCCACCCCTTAAAAATAAAAAAAATTGAACCAAACGAAACTTGGTGAATGAAAAGCTCTGGTCTGCGGTCCAATTTAATCCTGGACTGGTATGTACATACCTGTCTGAGTGAAATTTAAAACCCTGGTTCAATCAGTACCACATTTGGCATCAAATCATCTCTACATTGTGAGGTAAATAGTTTTGTTCCTTTGCTTACATACCTTGAGGTTAATTCCTTTTAGTGTTTTGGAGTGTCTGTCGCCATGCTTGCTACTTGTATTCAGCTCTCTCGTATTTGCATGATAGTCTGGAATCTGGATACTAGTTGTTAGTTCACTTTCATTTTCACTATTTAATCGAAGAACCTAAAAGCGAATAGATTAAGGGTCCTATTTGTCCTGAATTTTTCATTATGTGATGGAAATTTATCTTCTACCATATGATTAGAAACAGAATTGGAGTTTCTGATTGGGGGGTGTTTTGCAATATAACTAATGGAAGATAGCAATTAAACTGGATTGAAAACAGTCCAGTTAGAAAAAGAATCAAGAATTACTAATGAAAGATGGCTGGCTACTGTTTTTAGTTGTATCCATTTTGTATTAGATTTGGCTTGGCAATATAGTGGGATGGTGATTCGGGGGGACTGCAAATCGTTTATTCCTAGTTCGGTAGCCTATCTGATATGTAATTTACAACAAGATTGTATTAACATAGAATTCAGTTGTTGCTGATTAAGATTAATCTAATTATTTGCAGAAACATGATATGAAATATGTAACTTTTTCTTCCACTAGATCATTCGGTACGAAATTTACAACAAGATTGTATTAACATAGAATTCAGTTGTTGCTGATTAAGATTAATTTAATTATTTACAGAAACATGATATGAAATATGTGACTCTTTCTTCCACTTAGATCACTCAGTTTACTGTGATATAATGTGGTTGCATAAATATTTAGGTTGTCATGTGTTTGCATGAGGTCTCCCAGCATATTCAAAAGTTTATCCCTGCTAAGTATGGGTGATAGTGAGTTATGCACAAAGACTGGCATTTAGAGTGGACCATTTCATACCGGTTGGCATTTATATATCGAGGCATGATCCAGATCTCTTATGGCTCACGATCTGCTCTCAATTGCGACCCCCCAGCCCCATCACCACTTCTGGCATCCTGTCTCCTCTGCTCTCCACTGTCCTCTGTTGTTGATCTGCCTGATCTCCTGGTACTCCTCCTCCACCCTCGCTCCCCTCCCACCCTTCTTCCCCCCTATTCAGGGTACCATGGTACCATGGACTGGACCTGTATCGTTCTGGCCATGGGCCAGTACATCTATGCTACTTGAAATATCAGTCCTTGTTAATACATTTATGAATTCACTCGAATTTTTAGCAACATTAACCCTCATTAGTAGGTTTGCGAAAAATCACACTTGGTTACAAGGATATAAAAACCGGTCAGTTTGGTATGTAACCACCCATATTTATAGGTCCAACCAAGTAGTGTGACCGAAACGTATAGCTCGTTACAAACACAATAATGTGCATTTTGATTTTTTTTATTATTTTATTCAATGATACTAAGCAGTTCAGGTTGGTATATCATCTTATATCACCTTATGGGTCTGAGTTACGTAAACCTATAAAGGATATGCAAATCCTTGTCCCGCCGTTTTTTAACTGTGAAAAAGACAAGGAGCCTTTAAGTAGTTCTAAACAAGATGAAAAGTTTATAATGCCAAGATTTCACCATAATAGCAATGATACTGGTGAAATTTCATTTTATTTTGTTTAGTTGGAAAACCATGGCCTGCCACATTTTAAATGTGAAAAAGACGTGGAACCGTCAATGTAGTTTTGAATTATTCAAAAGAGTTATTATGTGAAGTCCTCACCAAGATAGCCTCATTTTGATTTGTAGTCTTGAACTCTTTATGTAGGTTTATTTTTATTTTTCTTTTGTCTATGCAAAATTATTTTTCAGTTCAGTTGAGCCATTTATCTTTGTAAATATTTATGCAAATATTGATTTTTTTAAAACATAATTTTAAAGAAGTGAATGACTTGAAGCTAAATGCCTTCTGATAGGGTGACTGTTTTTTGTCATGTTTCTGTAAATATGAAATTTGCATAGATGATTTTGTCAGTTGAACCTTGTTTCTTTTTAGTTATTTATATCCTCTTGATATTCTCAAGGAGTCATTGTCCACAATATATTTGCAAAAAGAAAACTTCCATTATTTGTTCTTATTCAAAGTATGCGTGGTACACATTGGGTTGAAGGGCATCAGAAATGAAAGTCTGCTCATCGTCTCTGTTTTTCTATGCTACAGTTAAATTAGCTTAATGGTTTACTGACATGTCCTCTCTATTTTCTTTCCTTGTGAAAGGGGCATTTACTGAAACTTAAAGGAACTCTCATGCTTGCAAGTCCTGATGAAGTGGCTGCTATACAAGCTATTAGACTAAAAAGTTCTGAAAAAAATAAGATGACTCGGGATCACAATGGATTTCGAAAGCTAATTATTGTACTAACTAGAGCCGGAAAAGTTTTGGCACTACACACTGGAGATGGACGCGTTGTTTGGTCTGTTTTACTTCCTGCCCTTCGTAGATCAGAAACATGTGGAAATCCCTTTGCTTTAAGGGTATACCAGTGGCAGGTCCCTCATCATCATGCAATGCACGAGAATCCATCTGTCCTTGTAGTTGGCAGATGTGGGCATGGTTTTGATGCACCTGGCATTTTTTCAATTGTTGATTCCTACACTGGGAAAGTACAAAACTCTTTGATACTAGAGCACTCTGTGAGTCACATAATGCCTTTGCCCTTGACAGATTCAACAGAACAGCGCCTTCATCTTATCATAGATGCCAAGTTACAAGCCCATCTATACCCTAAAAATTCTGATTCTCTTAAACATTTCTTTAATGAGATGCCAAATATTTACTGGTATTCGGTTGAAGTAGAAAAAAACAAAATAAAAGGATATTCACTAGAAAGCAAAGCTGAACTGGACACAGCTGAGGAGTATGTCTTTCAGGCTAAAGAATTGTGGTCCATTATCTTCCCTTCTGAGTCTGAGAAGATTGCTGTGACTGCAACTAGAAAAATGAATGAGGTAAATGTTTATTCTATCACTTCTTTACTTTAATTTATCTGGCAGGTATAAACTAAAGTCTTTTTTGTAACTTTGTTTTAATATTTTTTTAAAATGCTTGGGTCCTCCAGATAGTTCATACCCAAGCAAAGGTTGTAGCAGATCAGGATGTAATGTATAAATATGTATCGAAAAACATACTTTTTGTTGCTACTGTTGCTCCTAAAGCTGCTGGAGAAATTGGTTCTGCCACACCAGAAGAAGCTTTGTTGTATGCTTATCTAATTGATACTGTCAGTGGGCGAATTTTGCATCGTGTGTGTCATCAGGGAGCACAGGGCCCTGTTCATGCTGTAAGTGATGCTAGTTGTTAACTATCTATTTTTTTCATTCATCTCCATCTGCAACACTAAATGATAATCTTGGGCACTTATTTAGAAAACAGAATATTAATGCACTGTTTGGCTCTGTTTTGAAGGTTGTGAGTGAGAATTGGGTTGTCTATCACTACTTCAATCTTAGGGCGCACAGATATGAGATGTCAGTCATTGAGATATATGATCAATCTCGAGCGGTAGATATTCCTCATATGCACAGCAAGTTCTATCTTTCATTATTTGTTTTTTAATCATGTACCAAACAGTTTTATGGCTAAGGTTTTAATATATTTTGCAGGATAACAAAGATGTTTGGAAGCTTGTCCTGGGAAAGCATAATTTGACAGCACCTGTCTCTTTATATTCTAGACCAGATGTGATGGTCAAATCACAGTCGTACTTTTTTACTCACTCAGTTAAATCCATGGCGGTGACAGCAACAGCTAAGGGCATAACATCCAAGCAACTTCTAATTGGCACAATAGGTGATCAGGTGAGCCATTGTCAATGTAAGGATAATCAAAGTGATGATAGTTGGGCTAAAGAATAGCCCAGGCCTCTGAAAATTTTCACAGTTTTCCTGATTCTTAGCTTTTCCTTTCTTTTTGTTTCAGCTGAAAGTTTTTGGCATTACTGAATTGTTTTCTTATGCTTTTATTGCAATATTTATCTTGCCATTTAAACACAAACAGCAAAAATATGTCTTACACTGATATCCATGCATATATATATGAATATATGCATGTATTTACAAATATTACACATTTCTCTCAAGTGGCTTTTTTTCCACTCTGAGGTTGTTTATGAAAGGATTAACAGCCCATATGGAATGTTTGATTGAGGTACCCTGAAAACATCTTCATCTGATAAGCCTTATGGCCTTCTTGCATACAAATTAGAATCATCTGTGCTGGAGAGTCACCCTCCGCCTGTAGTTGATTTTTTTCTCTGCCTACCCTAGCCCATTGCACCATCATTAAGAGATTAATACAATATTCCTCTCCTGTAGCAACTCCAGTCAGTGTTTAAACTTTCAATTGATGCAATTTGGGGCTCAGTGTATTCTTGCAAACCTCGATGTTTGATCATAAACAAATTATTCTTGGATAATATATCTAGGTAATAGTTAGCATGGGTTACTTGGGTGCTTAATCGTAAACATGCCTGACCCAAATGATAGTTGAGTTGCTTGTGGTCCTGGGCATGTAACAAGAAGAAAAAGCCGAAGCCTGTTCAATTTATATGTGGGTGCTGTTGGCATATGCATGTGGATCAAAAGTTCAAACCCGAGCCATGCTTAGAGATGTAAGTATGATATTGACTAATTCTAGCACTATTTTACGTGGAGTGGATTAGTGGAATGCATAGAGGGAGGAAAAAAAGGCTTGCAGAAAAAGGGATAGATGTTAAGGGTGGTAGGGAAGGTCCTGATCTTATGGAGTACCCCAATTTTGGATATGGAAGTTGATGAGCTTTACAATCTCACTATAAAATGAATTATAGAGTTTATTGCAAAAGGAAATGATTTGTTATTTGCAGGAGCTTAAATTTCTGTAAAAGAGATCTGGGAAGAGAATTTGCTTGTAGGTCCTCAAATGGCATGAAGGATAGGATTTGGTTGGTTTGATGATAATTTATCCATAAATGAACGTGAAGTTACTATCAATGCTTTTGCTGGTGCAAGTTTATGGTTAATAGAGAAATTTTGCTTTTTCAATTTCAAGTCTACTTCTATATACTATGAAAATGAAAGTCTTCATTTGAACATTGTCAACTTTTTCAAAGAGAATGTCTGTGGAACCTTTTCTCAATGCAGTGTATAATTAGTGCCTAAGCCATGACTTATATGACAGGTCTTGGCACTTGATAAACGCTTTCTTGATCCTCGGCGTTCTGTCAATCCCACGCAATCAGAGAAGGAAGAGGGAATCATACCATTGACCGATTCTTTGCCAATTGTCCCTCAGGTTAGTGGTTTTTAAAATTTTGTTTACTTCATTTTCATTAGTTTTGGTTGCCTATTGAGAAACCTTTGGATCATGGAGCAAAATGAGTTTTCAGTGTAAGTCACTGTTGCTGTGGGTTTTGTAGATGAGTGGTGAAATATATAGTCAAACCAAAGATATAAAAAGCAACAGTATCGATATACAAGTTGCAAACTTGTTCATGTAATGATCTAAGCAGTAAAATAGGGATTACATATTATGAGTTTTTCTTAGCCCATTATTTGCTCCCTGTTACCAACAAGCACTTTTTATTTTAATATTGACTTAGATAACCAAAGTGATTCGACTTGGGAAAATTCCTTGATGATTCAAAGTTTTCCTTTCAGAGAAGTTTGTAGTTGTTGGATGTGAATGATGTTGCTTTATACAAGTTCTAGGTTGATACAACCCACACAGGTCCTGTCGTATCATCATTTATCAGCCCTTTGAAACAAATTCCAAGGATTTTTATGAAAAATGATAGTTACTCATATGAAGGTTCAGTTGGACAAGTATTCAGTAACATGGAGTCTGAGATTGTTAGTACAATCTACCCGAAGTTACCGTCGAGCAACAAAGCACTTGATTGGCTTTTATTAGTTATTTTTTCTTTATTTGCTTAACTACTTTTTTGCTTCTATCTTTATTACTCTTGAATATCTTTCTCGCCACTCTCCTGCTAGTGTCTAGATATTTGATAGATACCTTTGTAGTTTTATTTTTTGTATTTTTTGATACCCTGCTTCGATAAGATTATCCCTTTTTTTGCATATTAATGATACGATATCACATTAAATAATTTCCAATCCACCAGAAAGGTATCTTATGTGCATGACTTGACCATATTGTTCACGCTAATGTTAGAATCTTATTGCAGTCTTACATAACACACTCTCTTCAAGTGGAGGGCCTGAGAAGCATGGTAACAATACCTGCCAAGTTGGAATCCACTACACTCGTTTTTTCCTACGGCGTAGACCTCTTCTTTACCAGGATCGCTCCATCAAGAACCTACGATTCACTTACCGAAGACTTCAGCTATGCACTTCTTCTCATCACGATCGTTGTGCTAGTTGCTGCTATTTTCGTGACATGGGCCTTGTCTGAGAAAAAGGAGCTTAAAGAGAAATGGAGGTAAATGTATCTTCAAGGCACTATTTCTGTACCGAGACGAGTGCCCATCATTTTAAAGGTGTTTTGTTTTCTTGCCTTTTTATTTTTTGGGGTCAAGTAGGAGAAACTATTGTTTCCATTTGATTTCCCATTAGCAATCTTGAGATTATTACATCGCTCGCAAGCGGACTTTTTTAAAGCTGGATAGCATCGAATTTGGTACCTTACATGTGTAGTAAGACTAAGATTGAACTTTTTTTCTAGTGATGAACCAATTAGCATCTCATGTTGACCAATTGAGCCAAAACAATCATTTGCTTGTCTCATCAATAGATTCTGTTTCTACCTACATGAGACTACTTATAGGCTGACAATGCAACTTTAAAGGTCAAAGGCTTTGACTCTCAGGATAAAATGTGATGCAATTAGGGAAGTTTAAGACCATTTGGCTGAGCCTTGTGTTCAGTTCAGCACAGCTCACTAGTAGACTTTCCTCCTATCCAAGGAAGAGTTTGATGCAAGAAGCACAACAACAAATCCATAATATGTTACATATTTCAGGTTGATCTTTTATTGAGCTATGCAGAACTCCTATTTTTAGTTACCAGTGAAATCTAATATTTTGCCACGATAAAAAGGTAATGTTTTTGATAATTTTATATTGGTTGTAAGTGACCTAACGTAATTCTTTATATTTTTCATCAAGGCTTGAGATTGATATTAACTGTCTTCATCATTTAATGATGATTTATTAAGAGATAGAAATCAGTTCAAGATGAAAAAGAGTTGTATGATCTCATGGAGATGCAACCATGATTAAATCATTCTACTCATGTCTAATTATATGTATATAAACACACACCTTTCTCAGTGCATGCTGCAGTGAACCCTACATTTTCTTGCTCTCCTCTTTGGATTCATGCTATTCCAATTCTCTCCATTCCATTGAATTCTAACCTCTTGCATGCACAAAAAGAAAACACTTTTCCAGACCTGAGAGATGAATGCTGTCATAGAGTTCTTCAAGTAAGCCAGCCAGACCTGTTCTTTGTACTGTTGTTCATAGGTTAAATAAACTGGAGCAAGTTTGCCAAGCCCAAACCCAGGCAGTGTTCATAAGATTGCTAGTCCCTAACTTAACCTAGCTATCAGTCACTTTTACCTGGAAGAATAATACCAATGGGACCTGCTTCAAATAATGAAAGACCCATGACATGGGGGACCTGAGAGGTTCACATGCTTGGATGGAACATTGGTGGACTGAAACATCCAAGTTGTGGGACAGACAGGATGAACATGGTGGAGACAGCATCTTTAAATGTTCTGCAAAAGCTCTTGGTTGTCTGACCTGCCCTCAAGACCTGGGAGGAATGGAGAATTTAGCAGGATCAAGGACAGAATCATGTCCAGGAAAAGTTGCAGGAGTCATCTTCTCCCATGCAGGTCTCATAGATAGTACATGAGAATCAAGGAGATGAAACTTTAGTGCACCCAAATGGTTGCAGGCTCAGAACTTTGTAGTCCATCCACAGATTTATCACCAAGCATCACCATAGCTGGATATCAGATGACAACATTGTGGAGTTGGAATCTCCATGGATGGTTCAATGTTCAGACAACAAAATCTTTCCATTCTCTCGAGCCCACTCTGATGGTGGAATAACTTAAGCCACACCAAAGCAATCTTCCTAGCAGAGGAGCTCTGTTTTAGCTCTTACATGGACAGTGCTTTGCAGTATGTATTCCTTTTGACCAACAATAATAACAATAATAGTAATAATAATAATAATAATAATAATCATCATCATCATCTAGCATAGTTGCAACTTTCCATGAAATGGAGGACATCATGACCACTCAACTGCAACTTTGATGTGTCAATTACAACAATTGCATGTTCTTGGCCAGCTTTGTGGATCCATCCATCTATGGCTTCAGAGTTCAGATGCTGTGCCATCCATTATTAAGATTTATATCAATAATCATCGACATCTCAAGCCTATATATAGATGCTTCAGCTTAATTGCTAACACCATCAAGTCTTTCATGCTAATATGCATTCACCACAAGATTGTGGGAGAAGGCAGGTGAATCTTAGTAGCATAGGTGGGTTTAGGATGCACATGCTGTGGCTTCAAATAGCCAGCCAAAAAGAGGTAGGAGAGAAGGCCTTTAGACCAGAGAGAGAAAAAGAGCATCCTTCTGCAATGTCTCTCCTCCATCCAAGTAGGAACCACAGTGCCAGTCATATTTGGCACAGCAATGTGAAAGAGACATCATTCTTCTCTCTACATGACTGAAAAGTGAAGAGCTTGAGAGGTACAGTCTGGGGATGTAAAGGTATCAAATGCTCTCTCACCTTAACCAAATCTTTGTTCTACAACTTGAACACATCAATTTACTTCTGATACATATCAGCAACAATAAGTTATTTGTGAGCAATATCAGATCACTTTGTGGAAGCTCTATTGATCTCTAGAGATCATTGGTTTGTTCTTTGTGATAATGAAACAGAAGGAAGATTCTGCTAGTTGTTAAGAAAAGGGATCATTGGTTTCTTGCCATAAATGTTGTAAACAATGATGAAGACATGCAGGGAAGGGGATTGGATTGTGTAGGAAAAGAATTAATTCTATGAAGAAGTTGACAGAGAATTTGAAATGAAGGACAGAGTCTGAAGAGGCAAAAACACATTCATATGCCAATTTTAGACCACATTGCAACATGAATTATCCCTACCAAAGTTAACATGAGTTTAGTAGCTTGATCAACTTGATAACTCTTCATCTTAGGCTTGATCTGTGCTTCGATTACTTGTTGTCGAGACCGACGTTAAGCTCCAACTCTAATTGAGCAGTTTTCTTTTTATTTTATCTAAGACGACAACGACGACGACGACGATGATGATGATGATAACAACACCACCACCATCGACGATGACGACAACAACAAAGCTAAATGAATCTTTCATGGTTCTTAAGTTTCGAAAGTGATCAAGAACCATGTTCACGTACTATTTATACAATTTGCTCAACTACCACCATTATCAATCTTTTTCTTTCCTTTTCTTGGATCATTGGGATTGAGAGGTGTCAGTGTCACTTGCAAATGCAGTAGATAGGAGAACAATGTTGTCCTAAAGACAAACACTACAATCGAATAACTTATTGTTGTTCTATCTATCTTGCAGAGTTCTTAGTTGGATCGATAACCAAACAACCGCTTGTCTCATAGAACTCCAAGTCACTGCTGCATCATTACATGACAGACAGTAAACTACTAATGCATGAGTGGCTGAAGTCAAAATAATGGTGTCTTTCATTAGTCATCCATTGCTACCGAGTCAAAATCCCCTGCAAAGATCTCACTCGCTCTCAATCTCTCAGGCTTCTGCTTAGCAGACATCCACAGCAAATGTTGCAGTGCAAGAACAGCAGTTTACGTAACAAATTAATATAATTACGGTTTTATTCTCCTAATCAATCATTACAGCCTACACACTTTGCAACATCAAGCAAACTACAAGGAAGAAAGAGAGAGAGAGAGAGCATAGGTATTGTACTATGATGAGGAAGCTGAAGTGAATCACACATCACACCACCATGGTTTGCCTTTCGAGGTCCATGAAACGAGTCTCATGGAACTTGGCAATGAAGGCGGAGGCCTTCACATCCACGTCCGGCTCGCCAACCCAGCGGCCTCGGTCCTCGTCGCTCGGCCGGACCTTCCTCGACGTGTACTTCGGCTCGCCATCAGCTTCTTCGTCTCTGCGATGCGACCTGAAGAAGAAGAAGCAGGAAGAAGACCTGGAAGACGACTGACCTCCTCCCATTTCTGCGTGCGTCTGTCTCTCTCTTTCTCCTCGCCGTTTGGTTGAGAGTGAGGAGCGCCGGGCTTCCCCCATTTATAGCGTGGGGGAGAAGGGAAGGGACATGCCAACGGTGGAGAATGCTTGATGTGATGCGCCCAAAAGGGTGGTGGAGATACCATGACAAGGGCACGGAACTTGCAGTCCTCTGCTTTCCAGGTTGACCGAGAAGATCTCCTTCTCCCGGCACTGATGCCCGCCCTTTGGTTCATGGATGAGAGAGGAGCTCAGATTCATCGGGCCAGGCCCAAGTCGAGCTGCATTCAGCATCACAAGGAAGAGTCGTACCTGAGTTCCTCCATTAGCAAAGCACAGAGCATGGAGTGCTGCGGATGATACCAAATCGTCTGCTAAATCTCGGTCTCAAGAGTTATAGTGACACCACATTCGTGTCCATCATCTTACGATTCACTCAAAAACTATAATATAATATATTACAGATTTTATGCTTATATATATATATATATGATTATAAATTAAGAGAGATATGATATTTTGACTAAAGATATGATTTCTTTAAACAAGAGAGACAGAGATAGATACGAGTGTTGGTCCACAAAGAGAGGTAGATATGATGAGTGTTTCTAGGACACTTTGGATGGTGCCGTGATGCCACCCCCGACTTCCAGTTTAGGAGGTGCAGTTCCAAGTCATTTTTGAGAGAGGTAGGGGATGAGATGAAGCCAAATGATCCGAACCCTATGTTCGTTCATAGGGTGATTCAGAGACGACCTCAATAATGCTTGCCCGCTGTCATCACGTTGATGATTATTTTAGGAGCGTAGAATCTTGACCATGAGAAGAGGCCTTTTCCTGGTCTTATGAGGTACGCATGTTTATGGTGAGAGAGTCTCGGCGTTGCAACGTTCTTCCATCCATCCGGAGAGGCGTCCATCGGCCATTCGCAAAGAGGGGCCTGAAATGAAAGCTACAGCATTAGCAAAGGAATAAAGATCAAACAAGGAGAGGTGGTCTTTTACAGGAGGAGTTCAACGTGTCCTAACAACATTAAGTTGCAGGTGCTGTTCAAATCTAACCTAAATTAAAATCAAATCGATCCAAAATCGATGTGATCTTAATCGGTTATCTTCTTTGATTCAACTGATCAATTCAAATGGAACAAAAATTGATAAGATCATTTAGTCCCACGATTGTGGAGTATAGGAACCGTGCTTTTTAGAGTTTACATACTCCAAAATGAGAAAACTGTATACATACACACCATTGACCGACCGATCAAATGGTCTCTTATCAAAAATAATTTAACTATTTAAATCAAAATCGATTTATTTTTTTAAATTATTTATAATTACAAATCGATTAATCAAATCAAATTAATCGATTTTGAGCCGATTCAAACCAAACTACCTACCATACCTTAATGATAAATGATAAATGATAAATGATGTAAACATCCTAATAAA